CTGCTGTAGCTTCTGCTCCCCGCTGTAGCTCCACAACGAGAGACTCCCACAGGATGACCAGGGTAGCGGCTTGAAGCTACGGGCTAGCCCTTCAATTCAAGCTACACAGCAAGCTCCACCTCTCAGTGGTAGTCCGGCTACAGCGTATCGCGCAATCTCGCTCTCAATCAGATGCTACGCTCTCAATCAGGCGAATATGTTGTTTGTAGTGAACCCAAGTTGATCCACTGGGAGGCTGCACTTGGCATTTTAGGATATGCAGTTAGGACTAGTTCTTTCGGGATTTCTTTTCAGAGGGGGACGGTTTCAGGGTTTTGTTTGATCACGTTCGCCGACGCGGACTACGCCTCGCGTGCGGCAGATCGTAGGTCGGTTTCAGGGGGAGTGGTAATGTGTGCAGGGGGAGCGATCGCATGGTTTTCCAAGACTCAGAAGTGTGTGACTTTGTCCACCACGCAGGCAGAGTACGTGGCGATGGCGGATATGGGGAAGGAAATTCTTTTTTTGAGGCAGGTTTGGCGCTTTATGTTGCCGAAGGAGTTGCGGCCGTGCATTCCACTGTACGAGGACAATGAGGGTGCTATCCAGATCGCAAAACACCCGATCTCGAATTCCAACTCGAAGCACATCGACGTGCTGCATCACTTCCTCAGACAACTGGTAGATGAGAAGGAGGTAGAGATCATTCATGTAGCGTCGCAGTATCAGCATGCTGACTTCCTCACGAAGGCGCTACCTGAGAGGGATTTTGTGTTCCACAGGGACTACGTGATGAACTTGAAGTGAGCAGTCCCGGATTTTTTTAGTGTGTTTTTTGTTTATTATGTGATTCTTTCGATTTCAGTTTCCTCTGAGGAGTTGATATTCTACGAGTTTGGATTCAAGATTGACCGATGGAATTTCTCTGAAGTATTTCTGGTTTAATGGTTGGGAGTAACTTCGAATCGTTTGGAATTCTAACGAGTATTGTTTCTGGTTTAATGGTCATGGTGTTTTGGCAAAGACGAAGGATGAGAGGAATGGAATGTTGATCACTAATCTATGATCTCAGGTATTTGGTATGAGTGGGCATACATGCTAAGGTAGTTATATGAGTCCGGGTACAATCTTGCCAATGCAGCGAGGAGGGGGGCTGTTGGATGTACTCACAGCATGACAGATTACTTCGAGTAAGAACTTTCCGAACAGACGGAGCGGGGAGTTTGGGGGTTCAACAGTTGGTATGGATTAGATTTCGTGGTACCAACTTTATTACATATTGCAGGATTGAGGGTATGGGTGTCTACAGCGGAATTGTGTGCGTGGCTTGTGGTTTCTCACTTCCTTTTTCCGTGTATAATCAAGTCCTTTTTCCGGCTCTCACGCCACCCACCGGCTTCCACGCCACTACTCCGGCTATCACGCCAACCCGACTTCACGCATTCAGGACTTCCACGTCCCTACATATACCTTTACATCAGGGCTTCCACGCCACCTGGCTTCCACGCCACAACTATAATATGCACGAGCTTCCACGCTCCACGACGTAGGAGGGCTTTCACGCCTGCGGATAGTTTCTACATTTTTTACCATTGGCAGTACCTAGCTGCTGGCACCTTTTACTTTCCGCCACGGGACCCCGCGCCGAGGCACCCACGCACAAAGCTATACTCAACAATGTCCACCAAGTTTCCTGAGAGATGTACGCACCTGTCTCCTGTGTGCACGGTTGTGGCAGGATGAACGCTTGCGTAGTGATACTCGGGGCTGCAGGCGACGTTACAGTGCAAACGAGGTTGGCGTGCAGAGTAGTCTTGAAGTAGCTTCTCGGTCGATCAGGAACACTTGGGCCCTTTTTTCGTTTAGCTCGTGAACAGTGTTGCTCTTTCTGCAGGATGTAGCCTCGATGCGTTGGCCGCCATATTTCACACGACACGTCCATAGGAGATTGCTGGACGGTTGAGTGAGGCCTGTGAGGTGATATTGGTGGCATGTGTATTGATTGCGGGACGGTCGAGTGAGGGTGGGGTTGTCGTGGGATATCCAGTGGTGTCATGTGTATGCGGCTTCAATGATTGTTTACCCTCGAAGTGTAACCTCGAAGTAGTCGGTGTTTCAGTTCTTTGTCCACGCCTCAATTTCACACATCTCGTGCATAGGGTCGCTACCCCCGTAGGATGTGTGATGGTTGTGCTACAAGGTGCTACAAGAGTAAGTCGTTTTACTGTAGAAATGTGATCAATCATCATTCGCAAGGAGAATATTCTCGTCTTTACTTCAAGTGCTTCATGGAGGCTGACATGTTGACAGACCACTCGACGATCGAACCACACGTTTTGGTGGTGCGATGTTTTGCGCCGACCAGCTTCTTGCATATCGGGCAGAATAGGGAAGAGCAGCTACTCGGGTAGAACAGCTACTCGGAAACAAGTAGCAGCAACCGTGCCTAGTACACAGCAAATGACGCGGATATCGAAGCGGCAGTGTAATATGGGCCCATAAACGTGACCCCCCTACCGTAGCATGGCTCCGCCGCTGTAACTGCGAACATGTCGGCTTTCCGACTGAAACGGTCTGTGAACAACAAAGTGTAGGAGTTCTCTTTGGCAGTCACTGGCAGAGGTCCGAAGAAGTCGACGCCGACGACCGTACCAGGCCCCTGCGGCAAGGGTATAACGATGACGGGCCACCACGTCTGACGTGAAGTCTTGCGAGCTTGACACACCAAGCACGCCCGAAGCCANGTGTAGGAGTTCTCTTTGGCAGTCACTGGCAGAGGTCCGAAGAAGTCGACGCCGACGACCGTACCAGGCCCCTGCGGCAAGGGTATAACGATGACGGGCCACCACGTCTGACGTGAAGTCTTGCGAGCTTGACACACCAAGCACGCCCGAAGCCACCAGCGCACGGAACGATCCAAACCAATCCACCAGTAGAAACGGTCAAGCGAACGCTGTGGACGATGAACGCCGAGATGGAAGGACGCAGCGGTATGGCATGCATGAAGGACCCACGGACGCATCGGCATTGGTACGTAGACACGGGGCATGCCAGTATCCGGCAGGCGAGTGATTCTGCCGCCAGAGCGCCCAATCGGCAACGATGCCGATTTATGCACGAGGAGGGTGACGTTGTCGTCGGTCGTGTGCAGTCTGGTTTTCGCCGACAACGCAAGCACATCATCTAACCGAGGGGAGCGAAGAGGAGCACGGAGAGTGAGCAAGTCCAGAGGGGTAGGGGAGGGAGAACCGCGAGACAAAAACGCAACGTCACCACACACTCACTCTCCAGCTCTTGTTCCCTAGCCCAATCCACAGTGCTGAAACTCTGAACACAAGCCCGCAGGTGGGAGGTGTTTAAATCAGAAGATTCCAAACGAAGGTCAGGCGATTCAACGGAAGAGGCTGAAGAAGGAGAAGCCCCAGCGACTGGGGCAGCCGCAGTTCGTGATGATGTCCGCAAAGGGGACATCGTAAGGGGCGAAGTCCCGGGAGAAACCTGTACAGAAGGGGAAACCGTGGATGCAGGGCGCTCCGATGACGGCGGAGACACCGGTGACACAGGGGCAGTCGACGAAAACGCCGATGCCGGCGTCGCGGATGGCCGCAGCAGACGCGCGACGGTTCGAGTGGTCTTGATTGTCGAGCGGGACCTGCTGGAGCGACGGGTAGACGACGATGCCCGAGGGACAATGGTAGCCCGCGGCTGGCGTCCGAAATAAGCAGGACCGGTGACGGTGCGTCCGGAAGCAGCGGTAGTCTTAGCCCGAGTCCTTGAAGAAATGAGCGGTCCCCACTCGGGAAGCTAAGACAAAACGTGCAAATATCTAGTCGCCAAAGACGCGACAGGAGACATCACGCGGGACGCAGCAGGAGTCAAAGGGGAAACAGGCCCTGAAGATCCGGGAACAGGCGAAACGATGAAGACCCCCGGAGACCGCCGAGAATCCTCGCAGGCAATCGTTGAGTCCGTCAGAGCATCCAACCGAAGCGGGTGATGCCGGCGAAAATCCCCGAAATCGGAGGGCTGGAGCGCTGGGGGCGAAAAGACTCCCGCCGGGCAAGGAGGGCGGAGCCCACCCAAACCGACCTCCGGTGTAGACCACGAATGATAGTTGCGCCCGCAAGCCCGAATGAGGAAAACACCCGCAACAGCATATTGGTGAAATTGAGAGCGAAGCATCTGCTTGAGAGCGAGATTGCGCGATGCGCTGCAGCTGGATTACTGCTGAGAGGTGGAGCTTGCTGTGTAGCTTGAATTGAAGGACCAGTCCATAGCTACAAGCAGATACCCTGGTCATCCTGTGGGAGTCTCTCGATGTGGAGCTACAGCGGGGAGCAGAAGCTACAGCAGAGCCCACCGCCCGACGCGATACCGCCCTGAAACAGTTTGAGCAGAAATAGCCAATCTGGGCAAATCTAGCAACTTGTCTAGCTCCTCGCTGCAGCATCCGATGACGATGACACGCATATGCTCGCGAAGCTGCTGATGAGACCTTCAATTTGCACCGCTTCTTGGNGACCAGTCCATAGCTACAAGCAGATACCCTGGTCATCCTGTGGGAGTCTCTCGATGTGGAGTTACAGCGGCGAGCAGAAGCTACAGCAGAGCCCACCGCCCGAGGCCCAACCGCCATGCAACAGTTTGAGGCAGGAATAGCCAATCTGGGGAAATCTAGCAACTTGTCTAGCTCCTAGCTGCAGCATCAGATGACGATAACACGCATATATATGCTCGTGACGCTGCTGATGAGACCTTCAATTTGCGTTCTTGGANGATGTGGAGTTACAGCGGCGAGCAGAAGCTACAGCAGAGCCCACCGCCCGAGGCCCAACCGCCATGCAACAGTTTGAGGCAGGAATAGCCAATCTGGGGAAATCTAGCAACTTGTCTAGCTCCTAGCTGCAGCATCAGATGACGATAACACGCATATATATGCTCGTGACGCTGCTGATGAGACCTTCAATTTGCGCCGCTTCTTGGAAGAGCCCACCCCGTATTCCCAAGAAATGGCAAGAGGCGTCTGGACCCGAGTATTTTGTTTTTGGCTCTCGCTCTCAATTTCGTGCTTCGCTCTCAATTTCACCATTATGTTGTTCCGCTTGATCGACACCATCAATGCAGTCGGGGCCGGTTTTGTCCGTGTCTTGTGCTGGTAAAGGCAGTCGCGAAAGAAAATCCGCGTTGCCGTTTGCCGAACCTTTCAGATATTTTAGAGTGTAGGTGAAGTTGGATAGAAATTTGATTCATCGTTGCACCCTAGCGGTGTGTTCCCCAACCTTGCCAATGCTCTCCAAGGCCTTGTGGTCCGAATAGATGATGGACTTGGTCGACCACAGATTTCCGCGAAGGCGTTTGATGCCCCAAACAATGCCACCAGCCTCCAGATCCAGAACGGTCCAGTTACGCTCCGCAGGAAGAGTAGCGCGGCTGATGTACACAATGGGTCTCACCGAGCCATCGTATTGTTCTTGTTCCAAGTAGGCGCCAGAGCCGTTGATACACTCGTCGGAGCACAAACGGAGAGGACGGCTGTCGTCCTCGACCGCTGCCCAATCCGGGAAGACCAAAATCGGGGGACGAGCGAGTTCGCTTAACAAGGTTTTGACATCCTCGACAATGCCCGGGGTGCACTTGAAGGGAACGCCTTGTTTGAGAAGAGAGTTCAGAGGCCGCACCTTGGTGGCGAGATTCTTGGCGAGTATCCGGTAGTAACTGAGTCCACCAAGAAGGCTCCGAAGTTGCTAAACATTAGTCGGCGGCGGCATGTGCGTGAGCGCCCTAGCGTTGACGCCATCAAGGCTGACACCGGCCGGAAAGATGGTGTGACCGAGGAAGTTGGCGTGTGTGGCGACGACGCGAGCCTTCCCCGGAGACAGGTTGAGGTTGTACTGTCGCAGCCGTTTGAAGAACCCTATCCTGTTGAGCACGTGCCCCAGAGGTTCCTCATCGAAATAGATGACATCGTCCAGATACGCAAGCACACGCTCCAGACCGTGCACCACTCTGTTGATGACTTTGACGAACCAAGTGGACTTGCGTTGGCTCCCTGCGGCGTTCGAAGCCATTCGAACAACTGCACGGGAGTGCAAAAGGCGGTGAGCGGGACAGTGTCTTCATCGCAACGATCTGTTGGAAAGCCGAGTTGAGGTCGAAAATGGTGAACACGTTCCCGGTGTACAGAGAATCCGAGATACCGTCCACCCGAGGGAGAGGTTGTCCATCCAAATCCACCAGGGCGTTGAGACGCGTGTAGTTGTCGGTGATGCGAACCGACCCGTCCTTCTTGGGGATGACAACCAAAGGAGAAGCCCACGGAGACGTGGAGTGCTGAATGAGCCCTGCTGCCAAATACTGGTCCACAATGGCATCCACTTTTTTTGCATCAACGGGTTGATGCGTTACGGACGTGATACAACGGGCTTCGTCCCTGCGGGGACAGAAAGAGTGAACGGCATGATGGTGCAGGAACCGAAATGGGTTTTCGAAGTAGAGAACACGTCAGAATACTCAACAAAGCGTCGGCCAAACGTTCAATAGCTTCCGATGTCCATCCCGGATTGTGTAGATCGAAAGCGATGTCGTGAATATGTGCGGACAGCCTAGCCCACAAGCGCATGTAGCTGGAGCGCTTTGCCTCAGAGAAGTAGTCAAGTAGTTGTTGTGGAATCGGCTTCGAGGGAGGCGGGGAGGAGGCTGGGTTCGGAGAGCGGTCAGTCCCGGACTTGAGGCCAACGACGTGGACCCATGGTGGTGATGTAGAGGCTGTGGGGCCGGTAGGAATCGAAGATGGTGCCGCCTTCAGGGTTTCCACCGGTACTCGTAGTAGCGGCGCGGCAGGCACTCCAATAACGTCTCCCGGCTTCAGCTCGGCACAACCTGCAAGGGGAATACGTTGGAGACCATTGGAAACCAACGCATCTGGGGAAGAAGGCGCACCCACTTCGGGTTTGAACGATACCAGATACTCTCCGATTAGCGCAGGCCTGCCAGAAAAACGAACGAGGTCCACCTCAACGAGTGCAGGCTCCGGCCTCAGGAACATTCCCAAGCTTCCTGCATATGTAAGGTGAAACGAGGAGGCAGGAGCGTCGTCGTGTGTAGGGTAAACGCAAGCGCCACCTGTAAAACGCGGAGCGTGAGCTCGCCCATAACCCGGCTGTCTGGTCCAGGGTGGGGGAGGGTGGTGAATACGCGAGAGTTGAAGTGAATCCAGCTATCACGACCCAGAAGCACGGTGCCTTATGGCGGCGTCTGGAACAACACGGGCCCAGACCTCCAAGGAAGCGGTTGCTCTATCTCCATGAAGAATATTAACGGTGAGACGAATTGACCGGGTGGTCACAAGAACGGGTCCATCGCCACACCCACCCCAACGACGAGAGGGCGAAACACGAACACTGCCAGCGGTCAAAGCTCCAGGAGCTATCATGGCGGTGACCACGGAGTTGGACACGAAGGACGCAGGAGATCCAGGGTCCAGCAGCGCCACTCGCGCGAGTTGAGAAGTGGTTGTTGGTCCTCCATGCAGCAGGACCCGGGCGGTGTATGAGTCCGAGTCCAACAGGAGCGCGCCGCCTACCAGATCGGGCCCATGTTCCAAAAGGGGAGGTTGGTTTGCACAAGCGGAGGTCGATGCCACCAGATGAACGCCAGGAGTATGATCCCCTGGAGCGTCCAAACGGAGACAAGCTGGGTCTTCGCCCCGGTCCTCCCGTAACGACGAACCTGCCGCAGTAGCAACCTCGTGAATGCATCGATGTCCATGGGGAGGAGGCTGCGAAATGGGGGGCGTGGGAGAAGCGGAAGCAGAGGAATCTTCACCAGACAAGGGATGACCACGCCGAAGGCGTCGACCTTCCATCAAAGCTTTTCCCAACAAGTTTTTACCGCTAGCCGCCCACTGGATGAAACGTTAGCCTCTGGAAAGCATGCAGACATGCCGATACCCCAAACACGATCGAAGGGGCTGGCTTCCGCAAGGAGGCGGATACCCGTCTCCAGTAAATGTTGTTTCATGGGATGGTTTTGAGCAAGTTTGGCATACGACCCCGTGAGCACGATCTCTTCTCGACGACGCTCCCATTTAGCATAGTCGAAAGGACGGACGTTATGACCCAAGAACTTGTGTGTCTCAGGATCTGTTGCAGCCATAATTTTGTCATAAGACGTCATATCCCCAAGAAAATTCGCTATTTCAGACATCATAAATTGCTCACCACATGAATAACGTACCCCCAGTACGTCAAAAGCCGAAGGAGTCCATTGCGAGAAAAGGGGAAGGGGCAAAGAGAGGGAACCAGGCACAGGCGGGGGTGGACCAAACGGACGGTCCTGAATCTCGGACGGGGAGGACCCAGAAAGCGAGGCAGGAGGCGAACTCGCAATGCTCCGTGATCCGGAGGGCGGCCTGAGGGCGGAGGCTCCGGCGAGGTCAATGTTAGCAGAGGCCATTCGGCTAGTAGAGACCCGTTCGTTATAAGAAGTCATTCCTGCAGTAGCAGACGGACGTGTGATATTTGACGCAGGGCGCTCTTGACTACTCCCCCTTGACAAAGGAGCTGAACCTTCCACAGAATGATGGGCACTACCATCCGATCCCGATGGCAGTGGTGCAGGCAGCACTTGGTGGGCAGCAGAGGAAGACGCATTCGTATCAAGTTCTGTCACACATTGATGCCACCTCTACAGGTAGAAAACCATCTGCGCAAGGAACCGGTAGGGCCCTCGACGTACGCCTTCTTCATCCAGAAATTAGCGGCTGCCTGGGACACTCAAGACAAAAGCTCGGGGATCGTCTTTGCAGTTTTGGCGTGCCCAACGGCGAGACCTACGGAGAGAATACATTCGTCGCTATAAGGCTCTGGCCATGACCGTCATGGTTCTCACCACGCGTTCATGCCTTCGGATGCGCAAGTGCNTCTTCGTCCAGAAATTAGCGGCTGCCTGGGACACTCAAGACAAAAGCTCGGGGATCGTCTTTGCAGTTTTGGCGTGCCCAACGGCGAGACCTACGGAGAGAATACATTCGTCGCTATAAGGCTCTGGCCATGACCGTCATGGTTCTCACCACGCGTTCATGCCTTCGGATGCGCAAGTGCAGATAGCTGTTCGAGACCATGTTGATTCAGTTTCCAGTAGTGTCTGGGCAGGTGCACAAGGATGAGCAGCTCTCCATGGAAGCCTCTTTTGGGCGACGTGCTTCGTGTCTGGATGATATGTGGGATGTGTTGGACNAACGCCTTCTTCATCCAGAAATTAGCGGCTGCCTGGGACACTCAAGACAAAAGCTCGGGGATCGTCTTTGCAGTTTTGGCGTGCCCAACGGCGAGACCTACGGAGAGAATACATTCGTCGCTATAAGGCTCTGGCCATGACCGTCATGGTTCTCACCACGCGTTCATGCCTTCGGATGCGCAAGTGCAGATAGCTGTTCGAGACCATGTTGATTCAGTTTCCAGTAGTGTCTGGGCAGGTGCACAAGGATGAGCAGCTCTCCATGGAAGCCTCTTTTGGGCGACGTGCTTCGTGTCTGGATGATATGTGGGATGTGTTGGACAAGCGTGCGTTCGCGCACACGCCGGCGGTGCATGGAGACGATTTCTTTTCGGTAGCTTCCATGAATGCTAGGAGTTCGTCTGCTGTTTTTCGTGCTGTAGCTTCTTCGGCGTTGCGTTCGACGGTGACCCCTTGGTAGAGCCAGGGGTCTTCGGCCGCCGTGATGAGTGTTGCCATTCGCATCCTTCGTCTCAATGATGGTGTGGGGGGTTGATTCGGGATATTTCGTCAACTCACCCTCCTTTTGGATTTTTTTGTGAAGAGTAATTATGATCAAAAATCATCAGCTAAATCTTTCTGTAGCTTTTAGGATTTGAGCTTGGATTTGAGTATAGAATCTGAATAAATGATATTCAGGGTGGGCTAGTGTTAAGGAGTGTGGCTGCTAGCATGGATAGGGTACATCTTATTGTTGATTGGATGTGGGTCAGTCAGGAGGTATACCCTTCTGACCCCTACACCCTTAGAATTGTCTACTCTGTGTACCCCCTGAGATGAAGCTGGATCCCACTTCATCTCAGAACCTTGCTGANTTTGAGTATAGAACCTGAATAAATGATATTCAGGGTGGGCTAGTGTTAAGGAGTGTGGCTGCTAGCATGGATAGGGTACATCTTATTGTTGATTGGATGTGGGTCAGTCAGGAGGTATACCCTTCTGACCCCTACACCCTTAGAATTGTCTACTCTGTGTACCCCCTGAGATGAAGCTGGATCCCACTTCATCTCAGAACCTTGCTGATCGTCTCTCAGCAATAACAAGCAGCTTTCCCATCTCAACGTGGTCGTGGACAAGTGTGTCAACGACAGAACCCTCGTCTATCTCTAGGAGCAAGCTACCGCCCACGGCTTTTTAAGTATGACAAAGCTTGATCTACCTACCTTTGACCTCTGAACGACCGGCAGGGGTACTATGGTTTTGTTGCAGTGGCATACCATACAAACGTAAACGTACGTAAACTCTCTACCGTTCACCTGTATACGATATAGAGTGTAGGCCACGGAAGCACCTCCCGTACTACTGTACAGCGTCAACAAACAAATTTATTTGCAGTTCCGTGAGATGTGCATGCATGCATGTTTGAAAACTCAAAGCACAACAGCCAGCTTTGGCGTACCACAAGAATTAATTAACTAACTAGTCTAACCCTGTTCAATTCCTTCTTGCATTGGAGGGTGTGTATGTATGTGTCGTGTGTATTTCAGGCACATATTATGCGTTACCGTGTGCACGTGAGGATACACGATGCACGTGAGAACTTGGAAGTAGTTGAGTGAGCGTGTGGGGGCATCACCTACAACACTACATGCCACATACGGACAGTAGTTAGTTGTCAATATCTAGCTGAGAACACGCGGCACAAACACAATAAAATCCACCACCGGTGCTACATGTAACAACAACAACAACAACAACAACAACAACAACAACAACAACAACANGTCAATATCTAGCTGAGAACACGCGGCACAAATACAATAAAATCCACCGCCGGTGCTACATGTAACAACAACAACAACAACAACAATAACAACAACAACAACAACAACAACGTGATCAGTCATGATTCAGTGGTTGACGTTCTCCAAAATTTCGTCCAATGAGCTACTACGTGATTCTTTAGAGGCACAGTCCCTACCGAAGACGCGCCCGGATGCNAATGAGCTACGTGATTCTTTAGAGGCACAGTCCCTACCGAAGACGCGCCCGGATGCAGGAGATTTTAGTCGTACTTCACGGTGCTGTAACTCGGCTCGCCCTTGGAGTCTCGAACTCGGGACGGGGGCGCTGTGATCGTAAGATTGGCACGTCCCCGTCGGCGAAGACGGCCGAAAAAATGTTTAAACCCCATTTAAAAACAATAATATCCGATTTACCGCACCGCAACGTCTAGCTAAATAAATGACTGAAATAGTGGTGCGTGCATTCAACTCGCCGTAGCCTTTGGAGTTTTGAGCTCTCGATAGGGGCGCAGTGATCCAGAGACTGGCTCGCTGCAGCGNGACTGAAAAAGTGGTGCGTGCATTCAACTCGCCGTAGCCTTTGGAGTTTTGAGCTCTCGATAGGGGCGCAGTGATCCAGAGACTGGCTCGCTGCAGCGGGCAGCAGCCGGAGAAAAAAAAGTCTCAAGGCGACCGCGAACTGATGCACCTAAAAAAAATGTCTTGAACTCTTGCGTCTCAGGCTTCCGACATAATGGTATACAAGTCTATACTTGCAAGATGGTCGACGTGTCGCGACATATTTAGACTATTTGTTACTTTTATGCATAGTTGAGGGAAAAAAAAAATCGCAGCTCGCAATTCTGTTTGGCTACACAGCAGTATGGACCAGACACCGGAGAAGGTTCACGTTGAGTCACGCGCAACCGCATGATAAAGTCAGACACGCGTCGCAAACGATTGACAGCACGGCCGTGCATAGACGCGCAGCACGCGTCAGCCGTACTTGTAGACCTACCGCAAGCCACTAGGGATAGCCTGGCTTTGGTATCACGCATGTCTCCACACCACGCAGCACGCACAGCAACAGATACTACACACGTTCAACCACGCACAGACAAAGGCCGACACACGTCGCAGCTGATTGACAGCATAGAATAGACGCGCAGCACGGGTCGGTCGTACTTGCAGACCTACTGCATGCAAGCCAACTAAGGTTTAAGCGCAGCTTTGGACGAACGTGTATGCATAATCGACAGCGGCACTACGCTTGCTCGACAGCACACACAGCAGTAGTCTAACCGCTGCAACGTTGTCTTTTTCGTCGCGTTGTAACTATCCGCATGACACGAGAGAAAGCACTCTAGCGCTGCAGTTTGGTGCGTGTCCCTATCGATCGCAAGGAAAGCAGAGCGAGTTGAGGCCGCTGTCGTGCGCCCAGCACACCAATCTGGAACGCGCTGTGCACCCGCTGTGATTTTATTCAGGTTTACTTCTCACTTTAGATATGTACGAAGTATGTATGTGATTGTGCCGTCCTCTCTCTGCAAAGTGCTCAGGACGGAGTAGGTGTCGGGACGGCATGCGCATAACTTGATCAGCTCCAAGTTCGGCGCTGGGCTGGTTGTTCTTTTATTCCCCTATTTTTCCGTATGTCCCTGTGTCCACAGCGTTGGTCCAGACCTCGCCACGTTGTTCGCCTGTATTGTGTGTATGAATGTCCATCAGAGATGATATCCAACAGTCTTCACTACTCGGAGTATAGTCTATGGTTGATGAGTGTACATTTTACTGTTCCGTTCCATGGGGGAGGGGCTACGGGGTTCTGTGCTCGAAGCATTTNGTACGAAGTATGTATGTGATTGTGCCGTCCTCTCTCTGCAAAGTGCTCAGGACGGAGTAGGTGTCGGGACGGCATGCGCATAACTTGATCAGCTCCAAGTTCGGCGCTGGGCCGGTTGTTCTTTTATTCCCCTATTTTTCCGTATGTCCCTGTGTCCACAGCGTTGGTCCAGACCTCGCCACGTTGTTCGCCTGTATTGTGTGTATGAATGTCCATCAGAGATGATATCCAACAGTCTTCACTACTCGGAGTATAGTCTATGGTTGATGAGTGTACATTTTACTGTTCCGTTCCATGGGGGAGGGGCTACGGGGTTCTGTGCTCGAAGCATTTTGTGATCGCCCTGTGGTATGTAGAACTTCTTTTCGGTTTCTCGGGTCACTTATTTCCTTTTTTCCAACAGTAATATGTACTTCGTCAAGTTGCGATCGTTGCTATAGCCAAAACTTGCACGAAATAATAGTAGATGGATCGGTTTTTGCCGCACCGAATGAAGGATTGGATATGGATTGGTGACCCTTCTCTTGGTAATAAGGGACAACAAATGAATGTTTTTAACACGAAGGTTTTTGAATGATTAGAGTACAGATAGCGCCCGTAGTGACCGTAAGTAGTATGTACTTCGTCAAGTTGATTCTGGTTGGAAATCGAGGCTCAACTTCTAGAGCAAATTATGAAAAAAGGGCTAAGAAATACAGTAGTTCAATGTCGGCTGCAACATAGGAAACGCCCCAATAAGAAACACGATGGTGCGATACCCCCAACACGTAAGAAGCAAGTAAGGGTGGCTGGGGGAGCGTGTACAGCAGTAAGAAACACCCCACTGCTGCTCCTTCGGTGCTCCCACCCCTCTACCTACCTGAAGATTTGCATTTTTTTTGTAGGGGGGAGAGAGATTGGTACGGGCAAAGACACCGCGGACAACCACATGCTGTCCGCTGTACGGGTTTGATGGCACTCGCCACCGCCTCTCTTGAGGGCTTGCAGACAGACGTGGATTGTCCTCAGAGATCAAGAAAAAGGCGAAAGTGAGGCAATGCCAAGTACTTCTAAGAATCAAGAGAATGAGGAGGATGCGACAAAATAAGAAATACTTCGCAAGACAATGGACGACTTCGGCTAATCCTTCGACCCAAAAACAAAGGATTGAGGCTCGACTCGATTTTTTATCGTTTCTTTAACTGCGGGCGCTATCTNCAGTGACCGTAAGTAGTATGTACTTAGTCAAGTTGATTCTGGTTGGAAATTGAGGCTCAACGTCTAGAGCAAATTATGAAAAATGGGCTAAGAAATACAGTTCAATGTCGGCTGCAACATAGGAAACGCCCCAATAAGAAACACGATGGTGCGATACCCCCAACACGTAAGAAGCAAGTAAGGGTGGCTGGGGGAGCGTGTACAGCAGTAAGAAACACCCCACTGCTGCTCCTTCGGTGCTCCCACCCCTCTACCTACCTGAAGATTTGCATTTTTTTTGTAGGGGGGAGAGAGATTGGTACGGGCAAAGACACCGCGGACAACCACATGCTGTCCGCTGTACGGGTTTGATGGCACTCGCCACCGCCTCTCTTGAGGGCTTGCAGACAGACGTGGATTGTCCTCAGAGATCAAGAAAAAGGCGAAAGTGAGGCAATGCCAAGTACTTCTAAGAATCAAGAGAATGAGGAGGATGCGACAAAATAAGAAATACTTCGCAAGACAATGGACGACTTCGGCTAATCCTTCGACCCAAAAACAAAGGATTGAGGCTCGACTCGATTTTTTATCGTTTCTTTAACTGCGGGCGCTATCTGTATTACATAGTCTGTCCAAGAAATAAAATGGTCGAGAGGCGGTCTCGAACTACTGTACTACAGTACAACATGTATGTGATTTACAGCATCG